CTATACCAAGTATGGATATTGAATCAGTAATTAAAAACTTCTAATGAAGAAAAGCCCAGGACCAGATGGCTTCATTAGGGAACTATACAAACATTTAAAGAGGAATTGGCACCTATCCTTCTCATACTCTTCCAAAAAATATAAAAGGAACACTTCCTAACTCATTCTAGTATTAATTGTTTTTTAAATTGTGGTGAAAATATACACACCAAAACATTCACCAATACAACTTTCAAGTTTACAATTTAATGAAACTGATTACATTTTTCATGTTGTGCCATTATGACTATTCTTTTCCAAAATATTCCACCACCACTGACACAAACTCACTACCCCTTAAGTAAATGCCCCCTTCCCTGCCCTCCTGCCCCTGGTAATCACTAATAATTTTTGGTTTCTATGTATTTGCTTAAGGACCTCGGGTGCTGCCAACAATTAAGAGCTCGGCTGTTAATCAAAAGGTTGGCATTTCGAATCCACCCAGTGGCTCTGCAGCAGAAAGACCTGGTAATCTGCTCCCATAAATTACAGCCTAGAAAACTCTATGGGGCAGCTCTACTCTGTCACATGGCGTCAACTATGAGTCAAAACTGACTGGACGACACCTAACAACATCATCACGTATTTGAATATTTCATATAAGTGAGATCATACAGCATTTGTCCTTTAGCAACTATTTCACTCAGCATAATATTTTCAAGGTTGATCCATGTTATGGCATGCAACCAAACTTCATTTCTCTTTATGGCTGTGTAACATTCCATTGTATGTACACAGCACATTCTGTTTCTCCATTCATCTGCTGATAGACATTTCGGTTGTTTCCATGTTTTGGCTATTATGAAATGTGCTGCAACGAACATTAGTGTACAGGTTTTTGTTTGTATTCTTGTCTTCACTTCTTCTGGGTATGTATCTAGGATTGGGATTTCTGGGTCGTATAGTAGTTCTATGTTCAACTTTTTAAGGAACTGTCAAATTGTTTTCCACAGTGGCAGTACCATTTTACATTCCCACCAGCAATGGATGAGGGTTCCAGTTTCTCCACAAACTTGCCAATACATTACTTTCCATTTTTTTCATCATTGCCATTCTAGTGGGGGTGAGGTGGTATCTCATCGTGGTGCAGTGGTTAAGAGCTCAGCTGCTAACCAAAAGGTCGGCAGTTCGAATCCACCAGCCGCTCCTTGGAAACCCTATGGGGCAGTTCTACTCTGTCCTATAGGGTCGCTATGAGTCAGAATCAGCTTGACGGCAATGGGTTATGGGTTTATGTGCCAGGCAGTGTGCCAAGTATTTCAGCCCAAGGCCCACGTAATGCCCTCTATACCATGGTGTCTCCTCACCACGGCACAGTTTGGAAAACCTGAGCACCAACACAAAATGTGCTTCTTAATGAGGTCAATGCCATACGGTTACAAGGAAACTTGGCAACTTGGTTTTGTTCTTCTGTCTCTAGCTAAATAGTCACAAAACTGGTGTTATGGGATGTAAATCAGGGCAATTCTAGTTCTGTGATATTCAACTTAACGGATGACATGCTAACATTTGTAAATTCTGGACGGAACCTTTCAGTAACTTTGGGGTAAATATCATAAATATCAGTTACAACTATCATTGATATGTGGCTTACATAGAGCGTTACTTAATAAAGCTTTAAAAAACAAAGTTTGCTGCATTTGCTAGGGACTGGGATGGGACAATGCCATTTTCACCTTGCCCTGTCCTTATGTAGAGACAGAAATCAGCTCTCTTCCTTCTGCAGTGAGGACAGGGTTTCTGAGGCGATCTCAAGACTTCATGAGCAGAGAAGGGAACCAGCCCCTTCAATGCACCTGGTAACATGCTGCATGCTTTATAAACTTAACTCAGTCCTCACAAAGCCTTATGAGCTAAGCAGTATTCTCCCCAGTTTCACATGGAAAAGGAGACTTAGCCAGGAATAATGTTTCCACAGTCATCCAGTTGGTCAGAGGTATGTGGCCCACGCCTGGGAATCTAAAGTGTGGGTGCTCCTTGGAATACTGGGTTGCCTCCACGCAGCCTGACACAGGCATGGAGACGTCAGCAGTGATAGGATTTCTACCTGGGCCCAGCAGCTCTCTTATAAAATAAGCGATGCCTCTCTGCCTGCCTGCCTGCCTGCCTGCCAGCCCGCCCGCCCGCCTCCCCAGGAACAAATTACTTTTCTTTGTTTCCCAAACGATGAGAGGTCAACAGCCCCCTCCCTCTCCCTTTTTTTTTTTTTCTTTTCTAGATTGGACAATGAATCATTGACAAAGGTGAGGGTACAAACTGGGCCCAATAACTATTAGGCAGCTATCATTTACTGGGTGCCTATCATGTGCTAGAAACTTACATATGCTAAGTACTACAGAGTTTAATTATCCTCATTTTATAAATGACAAAACCAAGCATAGAGGTAAAATAATTTTCCCCAGGTCACAAATCTCGTAAGTGAGAGAGTTCAGAGTCAATCCCAGGACTGCCTGTCCCCAGAGCCAGGATTCTTATACATGGAGCTATACTGCTCAGACCACATAAAAAAGTGAAGGGCTGGAACAGCAACAGCAAGGGAAAGGAACAGGTATCATTACTGCAGAAAATGTACTACTTCTTAAAAGAAAACCAACCAACCAACCTGTTGCTATCGAGTCGATTCTGACTCATAGTGACCAAGAGGCATGTTCAAATGCCTGGTGAACCTTTTGGGCCCCTGTGCAAAGACTTTAGAAGTTGTAAGAAATTCACCTTAGCTACTTAGTTTTTTTTTTTTTTAACAACAAGTAGGGAATCAGAAACGCACAGGGTATGGATTCTGAGAAAACAAGCCCAAATCCTAACCATAAGTGAGCCAGACAACAAAATTGAAAGCAGCAGATATGAAATAAGCCAGAAAAACAACTATGAGACCTTGATTACACCAAACATCAGGAAGGCTACGATTAATAGCTCAGCTTAAGGCAAGCAGTATATGACAACGAATAGAATGTCCTAGAAACATACTGAAGTTGAGTATTTAATCCACAATGCTCTACAGAGTGCAGACCCCATGAAGACAAAGGAAGATGTGCAGCGTTCAGAGGGGATCAAAGGGAGAGTCATGAGATTGGAAAGGTGAAAATAAGACTTTTGAGAAACAGTTAGAAACGATTATCGTACATGGTGGGGGAGGGGGGACAACATTTTTTTCTAAGACATAAACACTCAGGCCGGACCAAGTGACACACAGTGAGAACAGCTTTGGAAAACAACACGGAGACTTTTCTGATGTTGTAACGAGAGGATATGGCAGGATGTTGTCTGATGGCAGGAAGACTCAAGAACAATAATAACCAATCCTATGAATGCACGACTATTTTCAGAATATAAGAAAACATAATCCCTAAGACACCAAAAAGATAAACCTTTATTTGGTAAGTAACTGTCAAAAAATCTGGCTCAAAAGGAAATCAATTTCCTCTAGAGAACTAGAACCAATCATTAACCTCTTTCATAAATTTATCATAATTATATACTCGTGAGTTTACTTGTTTACTGTTTGTCTACAAGCTCCCTGATGGTAGGGATAATACTTTTTGTTATGACTATAGTCCAAGAGCCTAGCACAACTCCTGGAACGTAATAGTTGCTCAATAAATATTTCTCTATGAACGAATGAACAGTCTAATTCTAGAATCTAGAGAATATTATGTTACTCATGCCCAGATCACATGCATCTGGCAATGGTACGTCATTAAATTCAAGAATAAAAACACCCAAAAGATAAGAGGCAAAGCTTTCTCCTCCAATCTGGTGAACTGGTGTCCCGTTTCCCTCACGATCCCCTAAACATGTCCTAATGCAAATCATACAAGATGATTCATGGCCAATACCACCGTATCACTCCTTAGCTAGAATTTGTGGCACTGAGTTACCGCTAATAATGCTTAACGACAGCTTTCAATATACTTGGGAAAAAGTCTTTCCTAGGGATCCTAATTTGAAAATATTTGAAAAAATAACAGAAGATGCTAAGGCAAGGTCAAACACTTTCACAGAGTTACGAGACTCTGCAAACAGATGTACTGCCTGAAGAGTGATTATACGGTAAGTCTGCTGGTGAGCAAATTAAGCGTATTTTAAATATTGAAAACCACAGAGAGAGTGCTACATTATAGGGACAAACAATGATATTCTATGGCATCGGTTCGTTTTCATTTTAATATGAATACATTTACTTTCCCACACTCACCTGTGTGAAAGCTTTAAAATGTGAAACAAGTTTTGACGGGGGTTAAAAGAGCTCAGATCCATTGTCTAGCGCTATCTGTCATGGTGACTGGCTTAGCTCTGACGTGGGGGCCTACCAAATGTTCCATCATGTCTGCAAGCACAACAAACTGCTCTGTGACAGCCAGACAAACTGTCTGCAGCTTTACTGTACGTAAACAACAAACAGTTTACAAAGTTTATAATAATTATTTCTGTTTATTAGCCTGTCTTGATAGACTCTGAATGCTTATATTTTCTGAAAATATACATTAGAAGTGACTTTTGTGAAAAATCAAGGACCAAAATTAAACGATCTTATTTTACACACGATAGCTTAATTTTAAAAAATGTAATCGTTCATAGGAAATTTTGCTGCTCTTAAATTTTAAGGACCTTCTGCTGGGATATTGAGTACCTAGCTGCCAGCTTACTGAAATGTTCTCTAAAAACTGAAACTGTTATGAAAATTTACACCCAAATGAAACTGAAAACACAAAACTCACAGATGTAGACACCTTCCTATCTTCCAACGAGGTAAAATGCTTACTGTCCTAAGACTCGAACTTCAAGTTCATACTCCTTAACAAACCACACAATACTCATGAAATCATAAGTGAAAGTTTCTTAGCTCTTAACCTGTGTTTAAACAAGTGTTATGAATTTTTAATTATTTCTACTTTTTTTTCTCTACTATAAAATAAAATATTTTAATACAAGCATTGAAACTCTAGTATCATCACACTTACCTGTATGGCTTATCAGAGTTATGGATTCGTCTGTGGTTTCTGACACCAACATATGTTGTACTTGTATAATCACACACATCACATCTATACTGTTTCTGGACTGAAGACTTATTCCCTAGACAAGGTATTTCAGAATTTTAGCGGCATGCTTTGATAAGATTCAAATGACAGCATTTACATTCCATTGTAAATGAATATTTATACCACACAGTATTTAACACTTAAATCAAGGCTTTCTCACCACTTAAAGTTAACCAGTTTGAATGTGAGTTTCCAGGCTCTCCTGCATCCGGACTCTTAGCGGATATAAACTGAACAGTCTGATTTGTCGACATAAACTGGTTGGGCTGGTTTCTCTATAACCTTGTACAAAATGTGAGAACCATAATGACCTCTTGTCCTAGCTGTCTTGCTGACTATGCAGTAGCTAATTTACGAGACACACTGATGATCTGAAATCTAACCAAAGTTGAATATATTGTCTTTAGGAAACAGTGATTTACCAAGAAGCAGTAATTTAATACTATAGTCCAATATTATAAAGTGTGGCTACAAAGTATATATAACAAGCTCAATATAAAAAGCCTAAAGCTTTTTCACCCTGTGGGCTTCCTTTGTTTATAATCAAATGACAGCTATCAATGCAACTAAGGAAGGAAAATCAACTGCAAATGACGTGCTATATAACATAGTATAATTATATCTAATAAACTGACAGGTAACAAGGGTAAAGGTCATGAGAATGTGAATATGCAGCTCTCTGAAATCCAAGGAACGTGGATCCAATGGAAACAGGCCATGTTACTAAACTCACCCTGCAACAATACAAACCAAACCAAACCCGTTACCGTCGAGTCGACTCTGACTCAGAGACCCTATAGGAAAGAGTAGACTGCCTTATAGGGTTTCCAAGGAGCGGCTGGTGGATTCGAACTGTCAACTTTTTGGTTAGCAGCCGAGCTCTTAACCACTGCGCCACCAGGGCTCCCTGCAACAACAAGGCTGGGAAATTCAAGTTGGGGTAAGGTTGCTACAATACAGGTTGAATGACTCGATTCTATGAAACTGTCTCCTGAAGATATTCAAAGCTGTATTTACTCTTCCGTCAGCATAAAGTCCACAGGCTATTCACCCCTGACTACCTTATATTCAGAAACAAAGGAAGCTCCAGAATAAGGCAGAACAGGGAGGGAGGGCTGTGTGTGGCTCTGCCGGAAGAAAGCTTAGGGAGAAGACTCGGTGCATAAACGTAAAATTGGTGGTACAAAAGAAAACCCACACTGAAATTTCAGAAAAACAAAGAAAATACTTCAGTTAAATTTAAGCTTTCTAAAATTGAAATTTTCTTCTGCTAGTAACTGCTGCCAGGCAGAACAAAATGTCCTAATTTCCCAGTATAAATCTATAACATTAATATACACACTAATCATGATTATCATCTAAGCATTGCTCTTAATTGGTAGGTTAAAAACTTGGACTTGATTACAAGTGGCACTGTTCCAAATACAATTTTTAAAAAACTCTGAAAAAAAACGAAGTGTGAAATATTGGATAATGGTTTTGTGTGAGAAATATTACAGATCAATGACAACTAATAAAAATGACAGATGGAAAAACTTAATATAGCACAGAATGAGCGCCTGTGCTACTTTAAGCAACTGTTTCCAATGGAAAGAATATTGAATTTGAAGTTCACAAACTTGGGTTTAGTCCTTGTTCTGCCACTTACTACCAGTGTGATCCTGGGCAAACTATTTTACCTTTTGTGGTCTGTTTCCTCAGCTATAAAAGGGAAGTGCTAGAACCTGGCTAACAGTTTCCCTGTATCTTTCCTTCGCTGCAGTCTATTACCTGCGTGTTTGCGTGAAGTCTCAGTCCTATCACCAATCTGTACATTCCCCGAGGGCAGGGATCTGCCTGTTTTGCTTACAGTGACTCCCCAAGGCTTGGCAACTTGGAGGTTTCCAATAAAGAACAATGTAATTAAATTTCACGAAGAAACACTATATGAAAGTGCTTTGCCCACAGCTCTCACAGAGCATTTGTGGGATTGGCTGACATACGTTCTGTCTTCTTCACCAGGCGGGGTTCCTCAAGGGCAGTGATGTCTTCAATGTACTCCTAGCACCTAGCACAGTGCCCAGCACAAGACAGGCGCTCCATGCCTTTTGGTTGAGCCAATGTCTGAAGTCTAACTACACTGGGCCTAAGAGACTACAACATGGCCTGCTTCTCTGTGCTGTCGCAATGGGCAGAGACTGGCTGCCACAGAGACTCGCACCCCCCCTCTTGTTTCATCAGTTTACTGAACAGTTAAAGATGTTTCAACAAACCGTGAATTATTTTTACCTTCTTTGTGAGCCAAAAACTTGTTTTTTGGCCTAACAGCCAGATTCTGAAATACCTACTACTGAATCAATAAAGTACCAGTTCTTTATTAAGAGGGGCCTAGGTGGTGCAAATGGTTAAGTGCTCGATTACTGGCTGAAAGGTTGGCGGTTTGAACTCACCCAGAGGTGCCCCAGAAGACAGGCCCGCTTCTGAAAGGTCAAAGCCCTGAAAACCCTATGGAGTTGGTCTACTCTGCACACGAGGTCGCCATGAGTTGGAATTGATTCCATGGCAACTAAGAACAATTTCATTAGGTGTAAGTATGCAGGAAGGTATCAGTCATCTGAGCTGTTGCACTACGAAGACAGAAAAAAGCAAAAGGAGCCAAGTTGGGGGAGGGGGGTGGGGAGGAGGGGTGCTGTGTGGGGGTGAGGCAAGCAATTTAAAATCTATACATGTAACTCCAAGAAAAAAAAGAGTATGATCCACGAAGAAAAGATGCCACAAAATGGAATATGGTAGACAGATGCTGTGAAGTGTGAACTGGTTATTTTTATTTTGAGCTGGTATTTTTATCTTTTTATTGCGAACATAAGCTACAATGAAGAGTTTTAACCTGTTAGCCCAACTGGGCAGTTTAAAAATACTGCTTTTCAAGATGGTGCTAGAAAGACATATTCCAACACTGTATTAACTGCAGGCGGTGCCACTGAGAAGTACAGACTTTAATTCTTCATTAGGGATTTATGATCCAGTCATATCAAATGTCTCCTTTAAAGGGGATATGGAAACATAATGAATTAAAATAAAAGGAGGCATTTAGGGTTATTTTGTAAAAAGGAAACCAAACTGTTTCAGCTCAGCCACTGATCGCAAAAACAGATGCTATGTCATAAACTCCTTTTGTTTTGGACGGTTTTACAGGGATGACATCTGTTTGACAAGGGAATTGTGGTGCTACAGTGGTGTCAAAATCAGTTCTTTCAGAAACATTCTAGAATCAGTTATGCTTTCTGCGGTATAATTTAATGAAACATTACAGTAAAACATTTTACTCTGTGGTCGTCTCTAACTTTAATTCTTAGGAAATCTAGAGAGGAAAGTCACCCCAATATGTTTTATTTCCCATAAACACTATGTACCACACTTGAGACATTTAAAAGTATATCAATTTAAGTGAGCTGATGCAAGGAAGCACAGCTATTATGCTTTATCCTTAATTCTCCGGATGTGGCATCCGCCTTTTCATGGAACTCTAATTAAATCTTTTCACTCTAATATTCCTGTTACCAGAAATTCAGCCAACTGGTACCTAACTAGCACATCAGAAGATCCTGCGCGCGTGTGTGTTTTAAATAATGCAGGTGAAATCTGGCAGTCATACTTGGACAAGATCACAGCAGGAAGCCGCCACTAGAGTCTGAGGTGGGGGCTTACCATCTGCAAAAGCTACGTCTTCAGTGGGTCAACTGGTCCTGCGAGAGGGGCAGGCGGCTTGCCCCCTGTGCTGCAGCTGCTGGGCTTGCTGGTCTGTTGACGTCTACCAGTTCGACGTCTACGAGTTCGTGCTGCAGCCCGGCTCTTAGGGCACTGCATACATTCCACCTGTGTAGCTACCTACAGGGCTGAAGCTGAGTGCTTACTAACCTAGCACTTCTTACCCAGGACCCAGTAGTATTTACTTGAATTAGTACTTGGAATTTCCTCAGAAACAGGGATGAGGTCCACTAACATCCATAGCATAAAAACAGATGAGAATATATGTGGCTGTAACCCTGAAAATAACCCACAAAACAATTAAGGGCATTTTTAAACTTCATATGTCAATCAGTGCAGCCTATATGTATATTAAAAAAAAAAGAAAAAAAGCACAGATACCTTCCTGAATGCACTTTCCTTCAGCTGTATCGGTGGGAAGTCTTGGCTCATTAGAAGTGGCTACTGACAAGGTATCTGGAAGATTGTGTTGCTCTCTCTCATGACTCCTCAGCTGACTCTGAAAAATTGAGAGCAATTAAATGTAATTTTCAATAAATACACATGCCCAGTAACTAGGAGGCTATATAGACAAGAAGGGGTTAGCTGTGTTCACAGTCTAGAATCTAAAACACATTACAATATTGGAAAATCAAATCTTCTAAAAGATTATTTGACACATTTGACAGTTTACAGAAGGACACACACTGGGGAAATCACAATCTCATCAAAAGGCAGTTGCTTCTGTTTGCATTCTGTGGAAGGAAGACACCACTGCCTCAGGAGGGGCTTATGATGCCTCAGGAGGGGCTTATGCACGACAGGTGCGTGCTCACTGAGCCTCTGGCAGACCCAGAGAAGGCAAGAGCAGAGTGTTCAGAACACCTCAACACTTTCATTCACAGAAATAAAACCAATCAGTGACCAAAGGACTCCTGCTCATCCTCCCCTTTGAACATCAACCAACTGTATGAGAGAACTATTTGGAACACCTCCTCCATGAATATCCTCCTCCTCTAGCTCTGCCCCAGGAATCAAAAGTGCAGCAGCAAAAGACACTCCAGGAAACTTCTGGAGTCTGTCTTTACAGCCCATTTGGATGTGGTACTTGTCCAGGGGCCTGAGGCTGGGTCAGAATTTCATGTGGGCAACCCAAGTGGCAGTGACCCTCCAACCCAAAGGCTTTATTTCTGATTACCTTCTTACTACCAGCTAGACCCGAACTCTGGATAATCTGGAAGAAAAAGTCTATATCTCAGTTAGCCCTCTGGAATACATTTTGCCCCCAGAGAGTCAACTGACTCATTGAAGAAGAAAGTTTCTAAACCAGTGATTCAATGAATCCAAGTTTCCTTTACAAAAGAATACCATTTTAGCTGGCTGCTGGCTCTCAGGTCAGCACATATGGTGAAAATCACATATTGTTAAAATAACCCTTGACAGTCTCTTAAACTGCCCATAAAACATAGCACGCCTGGCTGTATTTCTACTGAACTGTCTTTCAATATGTCCAACAGTCCACTTGCAATGATATAAGTTGCCGTTCGTTGGTTGTATAGCCGCTGAAGAGAATGACTTGCATTTGGGGAACAGGTAAAGATGAAAAATAAACATAATTTTTGCCCAGATGATGTAGGGTTACATTTGTGTAAGTTAAACATATGATGTCACTTCACCGTACATTCCCTTGTAATTTAAAATCTACACATTGTTAAAAAGGTGTACACACTCAACACTAACGCCCAAATCACAGCTGTTAAGGAGGCGGCAAGCGGTGGAAAGAACACCGCACCAGACATCCTGAAGACCTAGATCTGAATCCCAGCTCTCACGGGAATCAGCTGGGAGGGAGCCCCTGTGCCAATTATCACACTTTTCTGGGCCTGTGCTTCCTTATCTATGAAATAAGGTGGGAGGACTAGATCCACAAAGTTACCTCCTTGCTCTAAAATTCTGACGTTCCCCGAGAGAATTCATGAAGCCATCCTTACCTTATAATGAAAAGCTTCTTCACACTGCTTGCACTGGTATATTCTCGTTTTACAGTGGTTGATCATGTGGCTCTCCAAATCCCTGCTGTTGTCAGCGATGTGCTCACAGATGGGACACTGGTATGGCTGTCTCTGACGGTGGACTCGCAAGTGCTGCTTGATGTAGCCCTTGTTGCCACTCGCATAGTGACACAAGCGGCAGCGGTAGGGTCGCTCGGCGTTAGGGATGTATTCCACCACGTTGCCTCCCGACAAACTCGGGTCACTGCTGGGCTGGCACTGGGCGTTGTCCTGCAGCTCTTTCAAAATGTCATCATCAGAGGCATTTTGGTCTGTCCTTTCCCGCAGTTTTTCAATTACAGTTAGTAAGGACATGCTGATGCCTGTCTTAACTTGCCCGACCGCCAATTCCTGCCTATCTTCTGGGAGTGCCACCAAGGTAGAGTTGCTTTGGTTAAAACTAGTTAATCCATCTGAAGAGTTTTTAAGCGGCGACATCATTTTAGAATATGCCGCCAAAGTACCATCTACTTGCCTTTGGCCGGTGTCTGGATCTAAAAGGTTTATATCCCCATAGTGTCCCAAGCTGGCTCCCGTTAGCTCTGCAGCTCTTATAGGCATTGTGACCAGGGCTTCTGCAGCCAGTGAGTGCAGTCGGAGAGACTCAGAGTTTGTCCTTCTTCGGCCTGGTGGGGCATTCTCATCAGTAGCCAGGCCTTTATTCATTAACTCGCTGTCTTTCTTCTCTGGAGTGCTCCAGCCTATGATCAACCCCCCAATATCAACAGTACATTTATCAGCATGATAAACGCCATCTGTTCCTCCACACCCAATCTGGGCTTCTGTAGGGCTCAGGTTCTTTCCCTCCTCCATTTCAGCATTCACGAGGAAATGTTTCTGTGAAAGAGTTTCTTCAGCACTTGGTAAACGCTCCACTATCACGTTAACATGGCCTTTTTTATTGGGGCTGCTACTGATGATCTTTTGCGCTGATGAAAGAAGGCTATCAGCCCGCAGATTCTCCTCCACGTCAGAAATCACCTCCAGCATTTCTTCCTCACTAGGGTCAAGGGCAATTGACTGACTTAGGTGCACTGCCCCTTCTGCACTCTTTTCTAAAGGCGATAAAGATGATAATGGCTCTGAGCTGCAAATCTGCACCTGAACCGATGGCCCGTTGTGGATACTCAGCTCACTGTCCCCAATAGCAATGACTACTGCATCGACCCCACTAGGTGCAGCGGCCACCGAAGAATCCAGCAAGCCTAGAGGCTCGTTTTCATTTTCAAATATTGGGTATGAACAATCGACCTCCCCGGCATGTTTCCAAGCATGTGTTTTCAACATTCTCTGCTGGCCGCAAGTGTAACTACAAAACAAGCATCGATACATGCCATACTGCTCATACGCATACCATTTCCTCCTACCCATTTCTGCCATGGATGCCGTTTGTGGATTGCCCACATTTACCGGGATGTCACGAATGGCTTCCTTATTTCTTTCAATGACTCTCTGACACAAGGACTTGGAGGGGCTTATGCACTGCTGGGCTTTGGACTGGGCCTGAGTGTTGGCATCATTTTCGTGGTCGTTCACCACATGAGCTTCAAGTTCCTCCTGGCTTTTAGATGTAATATGGCACTCTGAGCACATTAATATCACCTCATTCTGCTGACCATGCTGCTTGATATGATCTCTCAACACAGAGAAAGAAGAGGACAGAAACTTACACAGGCTACACTGATAGGACATCGCCTTCCCATCACTCTGGGCAAGAGAATCAGGGATAAGATCTGTCTGCGGCATTTCAAGTCTTCCAATATCAGCAGCAGGTGACCGGGCTGCTTTAGCTGGGACCTCATCAAGTTCTTGGGTTTCAAGAGAGGGTGTGGCAGCACTTGAACGTGGGCGCTTTTTCCCAATTAAAAGACATTTTTGTGACTTTTCATGTTCCACTATCTTGCTTAACTTCTGGATAACATGGATTAATGGGTCTGTTTTAGCTCTTCTTTGTTCATCAATTTCCAATGATGGGCTGATGACAGTGTCAGCAGTCAACACAGCTTCCTGTTCCCCAATATCTGGCACCAACATGGCAACACTGCTGCTTTCTTCCATATCTAAAAGAGGATAATGGACAACAGAGAGAAATACCAGGTTATAGAATAATAGCTGTTGTGAGTTGCTGTTGAGTTGATTCTGACTCATAGTGACCCTACAGGACAGAGCAGAACTGCCCCAAAGGGTTTCCAAAGAGCAGCTGGTGGATTCGAACTGTTGACCTTTTGGTTAGCAGCAGAGCTCTTTAAGCACCACACCACCAAGGCTCCCATAGAATAATTACAGATATGTAAGTCAGGAACTCTGAGCCAATTTTAGTATCTAAGTTAATCTAAGTATCTTCTAAGCTGACAGCTTCATGTCAATGTACCTGACTATCCCCAAGATAGACCTAAGTTGTTTAGAATTTCTCTTTGTGATGTTATTTTCTATTGACGATGGAAATCTTTCCATCCTTCACTTATTTCTTTGGAAATGACTAGAACAATCTGCATCTCCTTTGTTTCCTTTCTTACCCCTCAGTATTCAGCCAGACCTAACCAGTACTCCTCTTTTGCACAATCCCAGAAAGACGACTCCTATTCCCTGGTTGAAGGAACAGAGCCATCTCAAGGCGTGTGGAACAAGCTCAAAGTACCGTAAAATACCACTCTGCAAAGCCAATACATGACTGATACAATTCTTAGAAAACTACTGTAACACCACATATAACCAGTGCTTTTATGACTAAAACCAAATTTTTTTTTTCCCCTCTTCAAATTGTGGAAATAGAGTCAGGTAATCTACTGTAATCACAGAAGCCTGGTGGCACAGTGGTTCGAATCTACCAGCCGCTCCTAGGGAACCCTATGGGGCAGTTCTACTCTGTCCTGTGGGGTCGCTATAAGTTGGAATTGACTCGAGGGCAACGGTTTGTTTTTTTTGGAATCTACTGTAAAAGGCACAGTGAATTTTGAGAAGTACAATGCAAATGAAACTAAATAAAGGCAATGATCTAGTTCCTTCTTTTACTTCCTTAGATTTCTCTTCCCGACCACAAACCATGCTGTGGTTTTTTCCTAGAGGTTATATTAGTGGTCAACTATTACTCACATCCACACATATGTATTTTACTTTTCCTGAAAGGAAAAGGGGATCAGAGAAGGGAAAAATGATTTCCCAGCCATGTTTCTGGTCCAGATATGAGCAGAGTCCTCAGGAGGGGTTATCTGTAGACTCTAATCATGCGCTATGGCCGAGGAAGTCACTAAACATAAAATTCTCCTAAATCTTGCAGTCTAAGTCTCAAATACTCTCTTACTTCCTGGCAGCACATCCCCTCCAAACATTTCATTTGGCGTAAAAGAGATTAATTTGTTGACTTGGATTACATTTTTAAGTTTAGGCTTTTTTCCAGCAACAAGTTTTGTTTTTCCACATTTTAGGTGCATTCTGGAATCTTACTCACAACATTCAATAAATGCCAGCAAAATTTTAATGGCACTAGCTGTAGACCAGAGACCCATACTATTCTTAAACTTTAGTCACAGACTCTGAATTCTTATTTTAGGTAGTGAATCACGGCTCCTCTCCTCCAGACTGCGGAACCAACAGAGAAGGGCCCTTCGGACTATGCCAGGATCTAAACTGGCCTGCCAGACCCTGCCAGTGCTCTAACCAGCTTCAGTGCCTGTTCGCCTACATTAAGTCTTGGCAGCAATTTTGGCTTTTCCTCTCTGACTTTCTACTCCCTCTCGCATACCAGCTTTCTATCTCTAGGTCCATGTCAGGCAAAAATGCAAACACTTTACTTTCTGCTTCAATACTACTCCTTCCCTCCTTCCTAGGTCTCTGGTTGGTGCAAATGGTTTGATATCAGCTACTAAGCAAAAGGTTGGTGGTCTGAACTCACCCAGCGGTGCCATGGAAGAAAGGCCTGGCAACCTGCTTCTGTAAAGACTGTTGTTAGGTGATGTCCATTCGATTTCGACTCATAGGGACCCCATGTGACAGAGTAGAACTGCCCCTCAGAGTTCTCTAGGTTATGATGTTTACAGGAACAGACTGCCAGGTCTTTCTCCCGCACAGCCACTGGGTGGGTTCAAACCGCCAACCTTTCAGTTAACAGCCAAGCACTTAATCATTGTGCCACCAGGGCTCCTTTCTGTAAAGATTACAGCCAAGAAAACCCTATGAAGCTCAGTTCTACTCTGTAACACATGGGGTCACCATGAGTCAAAATCAGTTGCAAAGCAACCAGGTTTTTTTACCCCTCCTTCCTAACTCTGCTCTGTGGATTAGAGGGGATCAGCTTTTTCTCACCAATTGCCTCTAACTGCCTCTATTCTAGGATGTGCCTTCCACAGCCATTACAACAATGACAGCTATCCCAGCTCCCAAACGAGCCCCCCGCCACTGACCTTCCGCCAAATTCTCCCCTCAACCACCTGAAGGCACTACCTCTCAAGACTAACTCCTTTACACCTTTCTCAAGGACAAAGAATAAAAGTTGTCTGGGATCTTTGCACTCAGTCTGACCTCACTAAAGACAAGATTACTGGGGGAACGGTGGTTTTCTTCAGAAAACCATTCTGTGACCTCGTAAGTCCATGTCTTCTGGCCAACAGCAGCTGTGGCTTTTCATCCTCCAAGTGACTACTGATTTCTCCCCTTCAGGGTCATTCGCTTAAGGCTTACATTTTATTTCTTTCCGTTCAATTGTTAAATGCAAATTAGTTTAAAAAATAAGTTTAAAAACAAGGATCCCGAACATTTAATTTCTGTTCACGACATGAGACTCTACTGTAGACCTCAGGTCTCTTTCCCCATAAAATGTGATGTCCACAAAGACTGACTGATAGTCTGGAGGCTGACAAGTGAATGTTTGCTCAACACACTGTGCACACCCACAGGGCTACAAAGGTGACTCCTGTTATCCCTCTTCTACTTAACTAATGATAGAACAGGAGGGAGACGGAACAATGCAAATTGCTCCCTGTGGAGATTTCAGTATAAACCTTACAAAGAAAGTGAAATGAAGAGAAGGAGGAGTTCATCTTATTTCAAGAAAAAGACGAATACAAAAGAATCTGACAAAACATTCAGATTTTTAAAGCTGTGTCTGCTCAGGCATTAAGAGCTAATGGAAACTTGCAGCAGATGCTCCAATTTCCCTGAACATTTATGTAAGTATCTCATTTTAGAGGATGCATACATGTGGGGATAAGTACAGAAATGGCAGCTGTAAGACAGATACGACAACATAAAGTACATCAAGAAACACCTGAAAAACCAGTTTGGGTCCACATGCAAAATCAATGTACAAGTTAAATCTTATTAAAACAAAAGTCTGTTAAAAGAAGGTTAGATAAACAGCTCACAATAAAGTATACACACAGGGGAAGTTACCTTAAGGCTAGTTCTTCAAGTTTTCCCAAAAATCTCACTTAGGCCACTAACACAAATATACACATAAGGGACTGCAATAAGTGAAGTAAAATTTATTTGAATAATTAAAGACATAAAAGTAAGGAGTACAAATACGATCCCAGCAGCTGGCAGTTCAAATCCACCAGGTGCTCCTTGGAAACTCTATGGGGCAGTTCTACTCTGTCCTATAGGGTCGCTATGAGTTGGAACCGACTCAGTGGCAATGGGTTACTCTCCTGAGGCTCTAAGAGATCAGGGTAAACACAGCTTAAAAAAAAATCACCATGGTTGGAGGTGGAAGAGATGGAGACAGATAAAATAAGAATGATAAGTTTTGTAATTGAATTTGAGTAATGAAAACCTAGAAGTTCACTGTACTGTGCTTTCTATCTGTGTAAATGTTTACAAGGTTTCATAATAAAAAGTTACCAAAAAAATTGTTACATGCAAGGCACCATGCTAAGTACCAGAAAAAAAATGAAAAAAATTTAAAATTCACAGTACTCAAAGTTTAAAACTAAGTTAGGTAGATAAGACAAACATATTTAGAAGTTAAAAAGAATAACAGCTTTTAAGCAATGCAATCAGTCACAAGGTAAAACAGTCACAAGACAAAGGTCAACTGCCAAATCCTAAAACAGAATGAAGAGCTCCTTTTGGGCTAGGAGGTAAGCTGACTTCATGAAGGGTTAAGACATGCACTGGATCCCAAAGGATAGGCATGTCCCTCTAGGCTCACTGTGTCCTCTTCCCCACTTGGCTCTCTGTCCCTGGAGGGGTTACCTCTCCAGGCTCCATGCCCTCTGGTTTCTGGTTGAGTTCTGCCAATGGCAAGCCAAGGCAGGAGATAAGAGGGAGGCAGCAGAGTGAGATGATGATATTCATTCTCCTGGTTCCCTCCCTCCAGGTCACCCTGGTCTGGCTGTGTCCCTTGACAGAGACCAGTTCTCTCTAGGCAGGCTGCTCTATAAGACTCTCTTTTCGGTTCGTTGCTATGAGTCAGAATCGACTCGACAGCAGCGGGTTTGGTTTTTCGGGTTTTGGTTCTGGTACCTCTCCATTCTCCTGATGCTGCTAGCTCTGGATAACTGCATTAGCCCCTGTGGTTCCCTTATACAACTTCTGCACCTTTATTATTAGTATCTTTGTAAGTATACCCTCCTTGAATTGTCCTAATTTGAGTGTGCCATTTGCTTCCCTAGAATACTGTTAATACAGTGGGTTAAGACTGACAAGGAAGGCAGCCATAACACTACCATCTTTTTAGAAGAGAGAATAAGCACGCTGTCTAGGCGGTAGTGAAAAGATCAATATGGCTGAATAGGAAGGTTCATTAGGCGGAGAGAAGACTAGAAAGGAATCAGCCATACTGGAAATTCTTGTTTGGAATTTTTAAGACAGAAACCAACGTTTAGCCCAAACAAATCGAACTGTTAAAAACAAATAAGTAAACAAGCAAACAAATAAATAAAAGTTGTATCCCAAACCAGAAGAGTCCGACAACCTTTTCCACTGAGTCTCTCAAACCTTTCCTCAACAACAGTATTCCTAGGCAAAAGCCTGTAATTAATGCCTTTCCCAAGAAAAGTTAAGAGCCAAATTATGTCAGTTGTCATTACTTCCTTATAATTTTCTCTTTGGTTTGTGTATCTAACTAGTTCCTTTCAGTTATAATTAGTTCCTTTCAGTTACAGCAGTGTGGTTACCACCAGTAACAACAAGTTGAACAATTCATGTGGGCTGAGGTGGGACTGGGGAAAAGGCTGTAATTTTCTGTGTATACATAAAGACAATTCAATATGCTATAAAGAACTGTCTCTTTAGGGAACACAACAGAGGGTCCCTGATGGAGCAGTAGAACGATGGGATGCAGAACTCAAATACTAGTAAGAAGACCAGACTTAATGGTCTAAGACTGGA